GGTGGGGGGGGGGGGGGGGGGCAAACACAATGTATAAATTTTCAAGACTTTTTTTCCAATGTATAGTAAATGCATCAGAGAAACAGAGTTCAAATGAGGGAAGTCCTGTTGAAGCAAATATTGAAGCGAAACAAGATGCAGGCAGTGCAGAAGGAAGTGATGTTGAAATGAAATCAGAAGAAAGTGAAGACGACAGTGATGAGGATGATAGTGAGGAAGAAGATGGTATGACTTTTACTTCATTCTACGTTGATGCTATATGTAAAACTACAATAAAAGCTGGCATGTGAAACAAGACTGGAAGTTTGAGATGTCAGTTGTCAGGTCAAGCATCTTTCATCTATGACATGTGAAAAGACGTGGTCAATGCTCTGCCAAAAGTCGTAGGTTTTTTCCGGGTGCTCCGGTTTCCTCCCACAGAGAAAGTTGACAGGTTGGGTTAGGTTAACAGGTTAGGGACAGGTTAGGGTTTGGGACAGGTTAGGTTGGCAAACACTAGGAAACATTAGTGAGAAACATAGGGAAACATCAAATGTTTCTAAATTCGTTAGGAAACATTTTTGCTTCTCGGGAAACAAATTTTGTTTCCGCAACAATGTTTCCACGGGTGAGCAAACAGGGAAACATTTGAGGAAACATCGAGAATCACAAATGTTTCCACAACAATGTTTCCTGGTTTATCCAGGGCTTTAGTCAATCAAGGCTGCATTGGAGTGGATATAAGGCCATATAACTACCTGAAAAATATAGACAACTTGAATGTTTGAGCCGTTAGTCTAAATGTTGAAGTTCTGTATATATTTTGCAGGTATAGTTGTATCTTACATAAAGATAACTGAATCTTGTTACTATTTTCTGTGTTCTTGTCATTATCTAACCAAGATATTGTAATATGCACAGAACACTTCCACCATAAAACACTTCTCACAAAACTGGCCTTTAATTTTTGTTCGCAAAGGCACAACTCCAAAAGAATCGACAGAAACTAAAGAACGGAAAGCATCGCTCAGCAGTGTTGATGAGGTCGACAGTACTTCCAAGGAATTACCACAGGAAAAACGAAAACGATTGGAATCAAGTGATTACACCACAAAGACAATGGAAGACCTTGAAGATTTGCAGGAGGATCTTCACAAAGAACTTGCAGAAATTACAGAAAAATCCTTACAAAAGCGGAAACACAAGAAAGCAAGTTCCTCGAGTACCAGGGAGAAACGGCACAAGGAGAAGACAACATCGAAGCACAAGGAACGGGAGAAGGATGAGAGAGAAGGTGATGGAAGAGATCGACAGAAAGAAAGACCGAAGGACAGAGAACGGGAAAAACAAAGGAGTAGTGAAAGTCGTGGTGATTCTAAGAGAGAGGTAAAGTCAGAAGTGGAAAATGTTTCTTTCTGGGAACAGGGTGTCCACAGGCCTTGAAAATCCTGGAAAGTCCTCGAATTGGAAAAAAAATTCCAGGACTGGAAAGTCCTTGAAAATCAGTAGAAATCCTTGAAAGTCCTGGAATTAATTTCCTTAAAAATTAATTTCCAGCTGTGCCAACATTAGTGATTTTGATTAAAATTACTGAATAAAGCGAATTATTTGCTGGGTAAATCCGTGCCATTTTCAAAGATTTTTCCCAGTTCTATTTCCTTGAATTTACTAGAAATGTGCCTTGAAAGTCCTGGAAAAAATCAAGAATTTCACCTTCACCACAGAGTGGACACCCTGTGGGAACTTGTATTGGCCAAGTGTGCCTGAGTGCAGGCTGCTGTGAAACAGGAAAGGCTAGGGAACTTTGGCTTAGTGCTGAAATTTTCTGGAATAGATTACAATAAATAGAGGAAAACAATAAAGTTGTTGTTTGTGACTGTCATATTGTTGTCGTGTGAAGTCTTTACGACTGGTAAGGCATACAAGATAAATCTTGAAGTAGTCACAGTCTTGCAGGATTAAAAACAAAATTTCCTATTGCAGGCTATATGAATATTTTGATAAAACTTTTCCGCTGTAATATAGGTATAGGAGGGTCTAGATGGGGGGGGGTCTGAAAATCAGTAAATAACGGTAAATCTTTGAAAAGTGTTCAGAAACGATAAACAGTACTTTTTTCCCTCACGATTCACGCTAAATTTTTAGTGTTTTCACGACTGATGGTAACCGAAATTGAGTGAATCACGACTCACGATATACCCCATCAACACCCTCGTATAGAGTTGGTAGATTAATTAGGTATTTAATCATTTCAATAATCAGGTATTTAAGAATTGCCGGAACACAGGTTCGAAAAAACTATTTACAAAACCCTTTTATGTTCTATACAGCTATTTCAGTTAAGGTTGTCCCCCAAGCAAAGCGGAAAAGTCCAATACGAGCGCGAAAGGTTGCTGGGAATCGCTAATAAATTCATTCATTTATTAGAGATTCCCAGCAGCCTTTCGCGCTCGTATTCGACTTTTCCGCTTTGCTCGGGGGACAACCTTAATTGAAATGGCTGTATATCTGTTTTGTTAGGTAACAGTTGGTGTACGGCGAGATTACGAGAAGGGACGAAAATACCATGAAGTTGACGACAAACCATGGTCGTACGATTCAAGGCGACCCAGATCAGAGAAAGATGAAAGAAAAGATCGCGGAGAACGTCACTGGATGCAAACACGACTAGAAAGATCACCAAACAGAACAGAAATGAAAAGTGTGGTAGAAAGAAAGGTTCGCAAAGAATCTAAGGCACCAAGGGAAGAAGAGTCACGGGGGAAGGAGCCGAAATCATCAAAAGAAACAAAGTCAGGACAGAAAGACATAAGACCTGGCCAAACATCAAAAGATACAAGATTGGAGCAGAAAGAAACGAGATCAGGCCAACCATCGAAAGATACAAACCAGGAACAACCATCAAAAGATACAAGGCAAGGACAAAAATCAAAGGAAACAGGCAAGGAACCTGTGAAGAAAGGAATAATGAGCGACTCCATGAGAGAACTAGTGCGGCAAAGTATTAAAGAAAGCAAAGGACTTGCTCAAGAGGTCGTTGAGGAGGAAAGTGATGAAAGTCCTGAGCATTTCTTCCAGGTAGTTACTAAACTAAACTAGGTTTCCCTAGATGTACAGTAAGGCCATCCCGTATTGAACAAGGTATTAGAGACCTTACGATTTTAGGACGGCGACGACCAAAACAAACTCCTTCAAATAGATGGTAGTAAAGATAGTTCGTGGTATATTATCAATCGTATAAATTTAATACAGTTTTAGAAGTTGAAGACATGGGTTTTATGGTTGGGAAGAGTTCTACTAAACCCAGTTTGAAGTTGCACTTGTTGCGGCTTGGAATGCAGCCGTTGTATCAAGACGTGAAAATCTGTGATTTAGCGTTGTAAAAGAGCGAGGACAATGTCTAAATTATTCATATATTGTAATTACTCAATTCTTTTCAATGATCTATTGTATTGGTAGCCGTTGCCATCGCGGTAGCCGTCCTAAAATCGTAAGGTCTCTAATGGTGAGTTTGGGAAGTTACAACGGCAACGTCAATGAAGATGCACTCATCAACAATAGCATGTTCACAATAACTTTAAGACAAAAGCGACTATAACAAATTATATTCCCTTTAGCATTCTGTATACCATAGTTGTTCATACTGCTACATTATTCACGGCTTTATAGCCACGTCAACAGTTGAAACGTGCTAAGTTCTTTGGACTGTTCTATATTAAGAGTTGTTCAAAATAAAGATAAATTCTTTCAAGAGGCAACTACAGTATGAGCAGAACTTCGACGTTTTGAGCTGTCCAGATTTCCCAGTGTTACCACAATAGGTGTTTGTTTAGAATCAAACTGGAAAACTTCTGGAAACGATTCTACTTGTGAATACACATCTTTATAATCAGTCTTCTCTTCAAGGTCAAGACCTCTGACGTCAGTTCAGCCTCGGAGAGTGAAGAAGAGCCTGTTGAGAAGGAGAGGTCACCGGAAGCTCCCAAGTTGCCGCCATATCTTCCAGCCATTCAGGGCTGCAGGAGTGTTGAGGAATTCCAGTGGTTAAATAGGATCGAAGAAGGTACATATGGTGTGGTGTACCGTGCCAAGGATAAACGAACAGGTGAGGTTTTGTTGAGGTTTGGGTCAATGTTTTATTATGAAACGCCATCAGACATCTGATCTACATATCTACTTGGGAGAAATTCTCCATAATATTTTGAGATAACATTTAGCTAAACCCTGAATCGATTACTATTACCGTGCTAAGGATAAACGAAACGGTGAGACCATGGGTAATGTACACTCAAATCAATGGAAAATTTGACCGTACATTACCCAAAATTTAATTTATTAACGTTGCCAGATTCAAACAACGTTAACACAAAAACTGGCAGGGCAATCGTAACAGCTTGCGCCACTTACTGCGATCCCTAAATGTTCGACAAATATAGGTACATAGAAAAAATCAACTATCAGATTAATAGTTACTTTTCACATTGCGACCCACAGGACCACTTCCATTTTCGTAAGCTGACTGAATCAGACGACATTTGAAACCCTCACAATCCTAAACCATTAGCAAAACCCTGAATAGGACAACATTGAACAACACTTCACGATCTCAGATGACAGATACGAAAGTGTGATATAATGATTCCTTTAAGATTTTCCCAACGTATGAAAAATTGAAAAAATGTTCCTCGATCTTCTCGCTAAGGCAATGTACTTGACGATCCCTAGATCTCACTATTTTCCAGGTGTTGAATACTGCAGAACTAATGATTCTTTCTCTGTACAGGAGACGTTGTAGCTTTAAAGAAACTAAAGATGGAAAAAGAGAAAGAAGGCTTTCCTATTACATCACTGCGAGAGATCAACACTTTGTTAAAATCACAACATCCAAACATCGTCACTGTGCAGGTTCGATCAATGTCTTTGTAGTAGTAAGTTTTTCCACCGGCTGAGCCACTTAAAATACAGTACCGCCCAGAAAAACCTTCATAAAAATCGTGTTTAATATGCGGGAGATCCTCAGATCAACTTTGTAATTTGAACTTGAGATTTTCATCCACAAACTTCCCCAAATCCTGTATTCTGCACATCCTATTTCATGGCTTCTTATTTATTCCATAGGAGATCGTTGTTGGAAATAATATGGATAAGATTTATATTGTCATGGATTTTGTTGAACATGACTTAAAAGCTTTGATGGAAACTATGACCCAAGCATTTCTTGCCGGTAAGATAGCGAAATAATTTTCTCTAGGTATTTAACCAACTAGGCAAATGACTTTCTATTTATACAACAAACACCTCAGTAACTAATTTGCAAAGAAATTTGGCAGATGTTCCAAACGTCGACCAACGAAGTGTGAAGTAGAATAATATATATTTTTCAGGCGAAATTAAAACAATCATGATCCAGTTATTACGAGCGGTCAATCATCTTCATGACAACTGGATTCTCCATCGCGATATAAAGACATCAAACTTATTACTGAGTAATAAGGGTATCCTCAAGGTAATACATTCTTTCCTCGTTTTTTTCCTGACGAGAATGTAAACCAACTGTAAACACTACTGCTTGGAATTCTTCTAGGTTGGCGATTTTGGTCTGGCAAGAGAATATGGCTCTCCATTAAAACCTTATACACCTATCGTTGTCACCTTATGGTACCGAGCACCAGAATTACTGCTAGGAACGAAGGTAAATGAATGATTCCAGCTGCGGACCAAATTTTGATCTCGGCAAGAAAAACGAAATCCATCACCACAGCTAGAAAGAGCATCTTAAAATTGGTAAAATTGCAAAGTTTGGTTGCGAAATGTTGTAAAATGCGGAAAATATAGCCCTACGAAATTTGCAAATTTTGTATTATTTTGTATTACGCACGGGAAAATGCACCACTTTCGGCCCAAATGTGGTGCATTTTCCCGCGCGTAATACAAGTTAATACAAAATTTGCAAATTTTGCAGGGGTATATTTTCCTCATTTTACAACATGCTCTATCAAAATTTAGTATATAGCTTGAATGATCCATTAAATTCAGGGTGTCCATGGGCCTTGAAAATCCTGGAAAGTCCTTGAATTGGAAAAACAAAATTCCAGGACTGGAAAGTCCTTGAAAATCAGTAAAAATGTTAAGTGAATAAAGTGAATTATTTGCTGGGCAAATCCGTGCCATTTTCAAAGATTTTTTCCCAGTTCTAGATCCTTGAATTTACTGAAAAAGGGCCTTGAAAGTCCTCGAAAAGTCTTGAATTTCACCTTCACCAAACGGTGGACACCCTGATTAATGTAGTTGAAACTACGACACCCTTGTTACTGTAAATACGACGGATGAAAGGTGATAGAAAGAGAAAAGGCTAGGAAAGATGGCCACGAATGATGGGTGGACTAGACGAAAAAGATGGAGGACGAAAGAAAAGATGACCGTCTCTAAAATATACTTGAGTTGACTAACCATAATGTTGCCACAAATTTTAGGAGTATTCAACACCTATAGATATTTGGTCAGTTGGTTGTGTCTTTGCGGAATTGCTGACAATGAAACCGTTATTTAATGGTCAATCTGAGATCAGCCAAATCAACAAAATATTCAAAGAGTTGGGCACACCAAGTGATAAGATATGGCCAGGTCCACCTGCTTACTCTGAACTTCCTGCAACGAAGAAAATGACGTTTGCTGATTATCCATATAATAATCTGCGCAATAAATTTGGGGCAACTCTTACCGACAAAGGTTTCGATTTATTAAATAGGTATGTCCCCTGTGCTTGTTTTGCTTTGGAACAGCACAACTATTGTTCTGACCACAATGCAGCTATTGTTCTGATATGCATTGTTCTGACAACAATACAGGCATTGTTCTAATACAATAATACTATTGTTCTGATAACAATACAGCTATTGTTCTGATGGCCATTGTTCTGATAACAATACAGGCATTGTTCTGCAACAATCCCGCCATTGTCCTAAAACAATACCGTCATTGTACTAAAACAATGCATCTGTTCTTCTAACAAAAGATAGCTACTAGTTTGAGACTGTCTTTAATCGTTCTTTATATGTAGTTTTCTGACGTACGATCCAAATCGAAGGATAACAGCCGAAGGTGCACTAAAACATGATTATTTCAAGGTATATTTGTCTCGAACAGTTTAAGTCTTTCAAAAGTTTTAGTGTTGAGAAAAAATGCTGTAAGCAATTCTTGTTCTTATTTATGTGATGTAGGAAGCACCAAGTCCCGTGGATCCAGCATTATTCCCATCCTGGCCAGCTAGAAGCGAAGGCGCCAAGAGAGCAAAGAAAGCCAGTCCAAAAGCCCCTGAAGGAGGGAACTTTTACAAATCACTGGTAAGTATGATTTTAGGGGCGGACCATTGGAAAAGTGATGGGGCGGGGGTGGGGAAAAAGCAAAAATAAAAATCGCGCAGAGGAAACAGAAACGAAAAAAATCGTGCACCAAAAAAGTTTGAAAAAAAATTCGTGCAGACTTTTCAATAGGGAAAATTATAAGTTGAAATAAAAAAAATTTCGTGCAAGGGATTAAATTTAAAACAATTATCGACACAAGCAAAAATTTTGCAAGCAAATATATTTGTACAAGTTGAAAAAGCTCCCCCCCCGCCCATCACTTTTCTAATGGTCCTCCCCTTATTTAGTTTAGTTCACTTCCAGTAAGTGTTATGGGGTGACACCTCCAGAAATGTTGCACCTTGAGAGCAGTGGCGAAGATAGCCATGGCAACTAGACGCGATAATTGCATATTCATATATTCGTGTTCTGCCGAACGGATTTCTTTTGAAAGTGATTGTTTATATATTTATTTATTTTATTAAGCTTTCATTGTACAAAATATATATATTACATGCACAATGAGGCAAGTTTACAACAGGTACATACCCAACAAGGTAAATACATAATATAATATATACGGTATGTGAACATGAATATGCATCCC